CGAATTTGATATCATAAATTTTGTGTTTCTAGTTCAACTTTCGTCACTCGAAAATTTTACCTCAAAGAGGTGTTTTATTTGATATAAATTATTTTGGGATAGCAAACAATAATCTAAATGTTTTATTTTTCTCAAATAAATTGCTAAGAACGTTATCGAAATCTAAATTATGTATTCAAATCAAATGTGTCCATTGAAACATATAATTTTTCGAAAACGGAATAAAGCGAAAAAGAATGATCGTATCCTTTCTATTCGAAAAAATTAAAAAAAAAATTATGAGAAATGATAAAAACGTATCAACTTGGTACCAACTTTGGATACAATAAGCAACTGTATTCGCCTGATTGCCTCGTAGTTTAATTGTTGTTAAGATTTCTACCGGGTGTGGGGCGCACACCTGTATTTTTTTAAGAAGTTTTACTTCTATCACGTGTACGGTGTTGCACTCGCGCTATTAAACTAATGATTTTTTCTCAAGTAGTTTTGCTCAGTGGCAATTTATACATTTTATGCAAGTAGTAGCGGCACACTGGGTGAACTAAATGCATTCATACATACATATTTATGTACAACTGTAGGTAATATTGTAGCGTCTTCCCAGGTAGGTTAAGTGCGGGTGATAAACCCATGTAGCACAGTTAAATACTGTGTACATAACTACAATTAAAGTGGTGAAAAATATTACAATTTCGACATGTGACTGGAAAAAAAACTTTAAAATACGCATAAATTGTGGCTTCCAAGACATTTAGGTACGAAGTGATTAGCACAGCTGCATCCTTCAACTTGTCAACTCGCGGGGAATTCCCCGGTTTGCAGGGAATTTCGATTTAAGTGGCAATCGGGGAATGGCCGCTTTTTTCGGGGAACTGGGTATTTTATTTTTATATCTTAAAGTAACCAAATTAGACGAATGTCTTAATTTTTAACCATTTGACCCTTTTTGGAGCGACATTTTTTTCAATTTAAATCGTATTATCTCCGGATGAAAGCTAAGGTTTAGGGCTAGATTTGTGAAAGCCTAGAATAAAATCGGCTGACCAGTTTTTAAGAAAATGCCCGAAATCTCTGTTTTCAGCAGCCCGATTTTTAGTTTTCAGGCGATAACGTTATGACATATTTATATTTTATCAACGCAAAAGACAGCGTTAGATAGCTTGTTTTAATACCCTTCTACTGATATCCACTTCAGTGGTATGAAATGAGTAGTGCGACCTCAGTGGTAGTTTAAAAAATTGCCTTTTTCGAATTTCAGGCACCAGCCACACCCATAAAGGCCTACGAATCGAAACATCCTGGAACAAAACCTTCCTAGTTTTTTTGGTACTTTAATTCTTGAAAGATTGAAAAAAATTAAATGTAGGTACGTACAGACGCTACACACATCGCAAAGCATCTCGTAGTGGAGACACGAACCACATTTAGCTCTATATCTTTCCAACTAGTAGCCGGAACTTAATATATAATCGTTTGAAAGGTATTGGCCTATAGAATAACACTAAATATGTGTGATGCATCCACATACCCCCTTAAGCCGGCAAAAGCAAAAAAATGTTTTTTGTTTCGCAACACTTTAGCCAAATTTTTAAGAATCCGGTTAACCGTTTATGAAGCTTGAATACATTTTCTGGACACACTTTGGACACAAGACCTTTCCAACGATACCTCAAACATGTCGATTGGACCTCTGGATAAAAACTTCCAAATCTCGTGTATATATAAAAGCGAGTCATTTCCGCATGCTACTGAGGCTGCTTTCGCCACTCGCGCGCACTACCGTACGCTGTGATATAAAAGTAAAAACTTAAGAAAAATATTCATAACGCAGGTCTAAAAAAACTAATTTTCAGTATATCTATACATATGTAGTATAAAGGAAAGTCGAGATTTATTGTACGCGATAATCTCGAAAACTTGTGAACGGATTTTGGCGAGATTTTTTCTAATATATAGTAAGGTATAATTCCATGGTTAATGTAGACAGTTGCTGGTTTAGTTTGCTGGCAATGGCATACATACAAAAGCAGGTTATACATGATACATGAACTTCACTACCTACTTATTTTTGTTAGTACCTGATTCTTTTAGTGCTGGTATGAGGTAATGCACCAGTGGATAAGGTCGCCAGGCGCTAATTCAAGCGGCATCTTACCGCGCTGTTACGTACCTAATACAAAACAGTGCCCAAATTATTATACATTTAAAAGTTCAGCTTAAATTATGTTTTACTGACAAAGAATATCTGCTTCCAAAGAAGCCACACTCATGCATCCTCTCGGAAATGGTACAAAAGTCATCAAATAAAAGCTGTGGAGTCAACAGCTGTGGAGTGTATGGTGGTTGGCTACCGTCCACAAATATAAATATGCACTCTGCATGGCTTTTTAAAATGGCAAGTCCAAAAATTCACTTTGCTGCACACCTTCCTTTTGGTCTACATGAAATTGAAAACACTGTTAATACATCAATTTTTTTATGTGCTGAAAATCGTACTTATCTAAAGGGCTACATGTCCAACATTATTGCTACGTGTTCCTAATTAATTAATCTTTGTATATTTATTGATTCCTGCAAAATTGGGCCATGTAGTAGTAAAATTAACACATTGTTCTGCATTGTTTACATATTTTTATATGCGTTTTGGCATTTCTCTCTCGCAATTGCATAAAGATGACGTACGCAAAAATTACGCTCAAAAATCCTCTCTCATTGGCGCAATCTTGTATTCTATCATTCTTGCATACATCGTTCCAGCAGCGTCGGCAGATGTACGATCGCACCGGCGCCAACGCCGCCAAGCTAGTGCATACGTGCAGTTGTCGAATTATTTTTTATTTCACCAGTTTGCCCATTATCTCTTTTTTTACGTATTTCCTTTTGCCTATTTTTTGACAATTAAGCGCGTGTTTTCTGTTGTTTTTGCTATCATAAATTTTCCTTTATTTTTTTTATTTCAATTGCGAATAATTAATTGACTTTGCACATTAATACTCTTATTATTGTTGTTACCCACTTAAGAACAGATAATGTAATTATTTTCTAGTATAATATTTCCGTAAAACTCGTAGGCCCATGGCACAATAAACAGGTAGAAGCATGGTAGCAAATACAACAACTGCATGTATTTTGTTGTTGCTTGAGAAACATAAAGTGTCAAAAATGAAATGCCAAACTTTCCGATGTAAACAGAGATTGAGAATTCACAAAGCAAGCAAAATGGACGCCAAAGCAAAAACGTGAGTATAAAAGATTCAATATTGTATTAATAAACTTTTAAAAAGACATTTTAACGTCTTATATTGTCAGTTAGATGCCAGCATGCTGGCGCCATCAAGTGTTGGTGCCAGCCCAAGAATGATAGAATACAAGATTGCGCCGTCCTGGGCGTTGACATTTGTGTACCACAAGTAAACAAAGAATAGAGCGAAAAGAAGAACGAGTTGAAACTGCCAAAGCAGTTCACTTTACAGCGAAAAACGTGTTTAAATTTTGCTAAATGCGAAAATATTGCATTTTTCACCTAATCTATTAGAGAACAGTGAACATTTTAGTGCACTCCATTGCTTTGCACTTGAGGCAGCTTCAGCAAACGTTTTAGTACACTCCATTGCTTTGCAATTAAGGCTGCTGCAGAAAACTGCAGCAGCATCTCTGCGGGATTGATTAGTTAACTTGCTAATGGAGGCTGCGTGGAGCAGAAACAAAATCATTGTGAGGAAATGCTGTTAATATAATAATAGAGAAACATTTCGAGAACGGCTTTGCCGTGCCCTATTCACACAAAATGCAGCGATTCGTCCCAGCGCTACACTTGCATCTACACTTCTTGCATCTTGACGGCTGTCGCAATTTAACACACATCACTTCATTGTATTAGTTTTTACGCAGTCTTCAACTCAAAAATCACTCACAAATTGCAAATTAACATAATTTAAACTGATTTTTCACTTATAATTCATATTTCTCTTTCGCTGATTTGTAAACAAAGGTTTATTTACAAGTTACCACAACTGTCAAAATCGGAAAAACCAAAGTAGCGGTACCACTGACGGCGCCACCTTTGTTCGCTGCACCGTGGTGCCAGCCGACAGACTGTGTATGTTCTTGCGGTGTGATTGTACCAGCTGCTGGTGTGACATCAAAAATGATTTGATATTTTTATGTTTGTACCAGCAAGCTGGTGTCGTGAATGGAGAAATTAGCTCATATTTTTTTTAAAGAAAAAATCATTTTCGCGGAAATTTCTTGCACTATATGAGTCAAAGCCGCGTTTGTGGAAGATTAAAGTTCACAATATTGCATTTGTGCATTTAAAAAACCAATGTTTAACAAAATGGTAGAAAAATTATCAAATTTCGGCTCTACTCATTTCGATCTTTTCGGGACTTAATTTGTAAAGAAATAAAGATTGTACCAGCATGCTGGTATGTTATATGCGTCGAGCTTGATAGTATAATCACTTGATGGTGTCAGCAAGCTGGTGTCGTGTATTTCCCCTTTAACAACTTTACTAAATTATAATTGTTTCATTACTTTTAGATATGAGCAATGTGGAGCAATAACAAGAAATGCGGCCACCAAAGGTTTTTGGGAACAGAAATTTATATTTTAATAAATGGAAATACGTGCGAAAGTTATGGCGAATACGATTTTGTGTGCCAAAATGGTAATTTCAAACGATTATAAAGGTTTCAAGCTGTGCGATTATTCAATGAAGGGCATACATATTTCGTGGCATTGAGTGGGTGTAGAGACTAGTAAACATAAAGTAGCATAAAGTAAACAAATGTTTTGTTGGCGTAGATAACAATTAGCAACAATTGTTAATAATTGACTAATTGCAAGAAATCCGTTATTTCTACTGGTATCTTCAAAATCAAGATAAAGTCAACGAAGTGTTACCAATATAGTGAATTGAAATAAGCTTGTATTTACATACATTCAACCATGGCACAATTATGCCATGCATGCAACTAACTTTTTAATTTTTTGTCAAAAGCTTTCGTCGCAGTCCATGTATAAACAGTCAAGAGGTTAATGGATATACCCCACTACACCACGCATGTCTGAATGGCCACATCAACAACGTGCGTCTCTTATTGGCTCATAATGCTGTACCAGACATGCCAGACATAAGAGGCTCAACTCCATTGTATTTAGCAGCATGGGCAGGTCATGATGAGATAGTTAAACAACTATTACTGCAAACACCCAAAGCAGCTAATCAAAATATGCAGGTCTCAAAACTTTCTTAATTTTCTTCAAAAGTTAATCTGATTTCCTTTGCAGACTATTGATAATGAAACTCCACTGCATTGTGCCGCACAACACTGTTTTAGCCATTTTGCTTGCCTACGATGCGGACCCCGCTGTCCGCAACAATAGTTTTCAAACTGCACTAGATCTAGCAGCGCAATTTGGACGGTAGTTGAGTGCACCCCATACACCATTTCGCCATCAACACATCTCTTTACTCTAACATGTTTGCATTTAGCTAGTCGTAATGGACACAAAAAGGTAGTAGAAGCGCTAGGTTAGGTTAGGTAAGGTTAAACGGGCAGCTCTGAAAAAGAGTTCATTCGGAGGCCGCAGAGGCCCATTTTGATGCCCATGGGGGTTACCCCCAAGCCTATCCCTACATGTCTTAGAACCATTTTGATTTTCTGGCGAATCCTAGCAGTCCTTCCAGAGGAGCTTTCCCCAAGATATCCAGATTCTCGAAGAAGTGGTCCCCAAGAAACTTGAGGCGTTTTCCTCGAAGTGCTGGACACTCGCAAAGGAAGTGCTGGACGGATTCTAACTCCTCCTCATCCCTGCAGCTTCTACAGAAATCATTATGCGGGGCTCCGAACCTGGCGGCCATGTGGCCAATGGTCCAGTGTCCCGTTAGTATTCCTGTGAGAAGCCTGACGTTTGACTTTGAAAGCCTTAATAGACTCCTTGTTCTTCGTTCATCGAGCCGTGACCAGAGTGATCGCGATACCCTGCAGGTGTGAAGGTTTACCCACCTACTGTTGGTAGCTGCCCTGGTCAGTCTCTCGACTTCTGAGGACAGAAATCGCAGGGGGGGTTTCACGATTTGGGTCGCTTCCCCGAGCCCCATCTCAGATCCCTTCCTAGCACATTCGTCCGCTTCCTCATTTCCCGGGACACCACAATGTCCCGTACCCAGTAGAGATTGATTATGTGTTGCTGTAGAGCTTATAGGGATCTTCGGCATTCTTTAACGCATACCGAGTTAGTCGTTGCCGACCCTAAGGCTTTGATAGCCGCCTGACTGTCAACAACGAAGGCGAGTTTAGAGCTAAGTCCATCATGCCCACCAACCTTGCCGCCATATGGATTGCATATATCTCAGCCTGAAAAACACTGCAGTGGTCTGGGAATCTATACGACTCCCTTAGAGATAACTCCTGGGAGAAGACCCCAGATCCTGTTCCGATATCCATTTTGGAGCCGTCCGTGAAGATGGGTATTTCGTCATCGCTGAGAGCAATATTAAATTCCCAGTCACTTCTGTCAGGAAAATGGATATCGAAGTTTCGATTGAAGTCAATTTCCGTGACCTGATGGTCACAGTGGCTGTATTCCACCCCCACTCTCCCGAGGATTGTGGCGTGACCTTTGCAAGTTGTTCGCAGCCTGTTAGACGCTCTGAGTCGTAGAGCGCTTTTAGCTGCGATACTTTTAACATATAGGTCTATAGGTGGAATATCCAGCAGGGTCTCTAAAGATGCCTGGGGCGTTGAATAAATCGCCCCCGTTGTGTATAAGCATGCTTGTCGTTGCACCTTTTGCAAGTTGAGTAGATGGGATTTGGTGTCAACCGCCTGCCACCATACCAACGCGCCATAGGTGAGGATAGGTCTGACTACCGCCGTATAAATCCAATGTATTATCTGCGGTCGCAGACCCCAGTCTTTTCCAATAGTAGCCTTGCAGGAGTAGAGTGCAATGAGCGCCTTCTTTCTCCGCTCTTCGGTGTTCCTTTTCCAGGAAAGCTTAGAGTCGAGAATAACCCCCAAAAACTTTGCTTCTTTTGACAATTCGAGATTTGCTCCATTGAGGGACGGAAGTCGGAAATTGTCTATTTTATATCGCTTGGTGAAGAGAACAAGTTCGGTTTTAGTGGGATTGACCCCTAGGCCGTTTCGTTCTGCCCACCCTGACAGATCGCTAATTGCAGATTGTAGAATCTCGCTGACCGTGGAGAGGAATTTTCCCACGACCAGAATGACTAAGTCATCCGCATAAGCAACGACCTTAGCGGCTTTTGATGTGCGAAGCAGGAATTCGTTTAGCACGAGGTTCCACAGTAGGGGGGATAGCACCCCCCTTGAGGTGTGCCCCTGTGGCTGTTTTCCTTACTTCTGATGTTCCCAAGGAGCTATTGATATTTCTGGTGCTCAACATATTGTCGATCCAGAGAGTGATCAATGGGTCCAGTCCTACAGCCACCATGGAGCAGTGTATGGATGCCAAATTAACATTGTTAAAGGCGCCCTCCACGTCCAGGAAGGCTGCCAGCGCATATTCCTTGTGATTCAGTGCTTGCTCTATACTCCCAACAACCTCGTGCAGGGCTGTTTCAACCGACCTACCTTTACGGTAGGCATGCTGAGCCTCGCTGAAGTTCCCAGGAGTAAGGCGTTGCGTGATCTGCAGACTCAGAAGCCTCTCCATTATTTTGAGAAGAAATGATGAGAGGCTGATGGGCCTAAAATCTTTTGCAGTGCTGTGGCCCGCTTTTCCTGCTTTGGGAATGAAGACCACTCTTACCTCCCTCCATGGCTTTGGGATATAGCCTAGGAGGAGACTCGCCCTATAGATTGTCGTTAACCAGGGGGTTACCGTGGCGCTTGTTCGTTGTAGCATGGCTGGAAAGATCCCATCCGGTCCCGGAGATTTGTAGGGTTGGAAGGATCTGATAGCCCAAGCTACTTTGTCTGCAGTGATGATTTCGTCCACTGGACTGCCTTGCCTGTGGGTACTAGGGTGTTCTGTCACAGGAGTTCCTGTGTCCCCCGCGTCACCGCAACCAGGGAAGTGGACGTCCATAAGGTGTTCCAGTGTTTCAAGGCTGCTTTCGGTGTGCCCTCCTCCTGGCTTTTCCAGAAAACCAGGAGGAGCCGGGTTTTTCGAGAGGCACCTTCTTAGTCGCGCGGCATCAGTAGTCGTTTCGAGGTCCTCGCAAAATTTGGACCACGAAACCTTCTTTGCCTTCTTTATCTCTTTCTTGAACGCATTGAAGTTGCGACGATATTCGTCCCAGTCCTCCGCGTTCTTGGTGAACTTCGCTTTATTGAAAGCTTTCCTAGCTGCTATCCTGAGCCGCCTTAGATCGGCCGTCCACCACCTTGGGTGTCGCTTGGAACGTTTGCTCTCGGGACAGGTTGTTATGTAGCATTCGTTGAGAGACTTCGTTAGACAGAGGACCGTTCCCTCCAGTTGGTCCACTGAAATTGGCTCCACCGTGTACGGTGGACTCGCTCCAGACACCAACTGGCTGAATTTGTTCCAGTTTGTCCTACGAGGATTTCGATAAGGTTTTAGTGTCGGTCTGTTCAGGTTAATGGAGAATACGATGCGACAATGATCAGAAAAGGAGCATTTTGTCGAGACGTGCCAGCCGTCGACCCTAACATTGTTCGAGTTAGTTACAAGAGTATGTCTATAACCTCCTCCCTTATTCTATTGTAGAAAGTGGGGTGATTACCCTTATTACAGATAGTAAGTTTTGTGGATAATAAGTAACTAAAGAGTGACTCACCTCTATCGTTGGTGTTCGAGCTGCTCCACGCCGTGTGGTGAGCGTTGGCGTCACAGCCAGCCACCATATTTATCCCTCGTTGCTCCGCCCAGGCGGTTAGTTTCCTGAAGGATATTGACGGGGGATCGGGTACATCGTATGGCATGTATAAAGATGCGAGGATGAGGTCGGGTGCTCCCCGCTGCTCCAACATTGCCACTGTCATGTCCGAATCGCTATATGGGGAAGAAAGGGTATATTAGTGCTTTTCTTAATCAGAATACAGGTTCTAATTTTACCTTCGGTCTGTGGGGTGAGAAGTAGAAAGTCGCTAGTGGATAGACCTGTGACCCTCCCCGCCACTAGCCAGGGTTCTTGTATTAGGGCCACGTCCACATCTTCCTCACCCATGAAGAGCAGCAGATCCTCCGATGCTGCCCTGCACTGATGCAGATTAATCTGCACCACCTTTAGGCTTTTCGGATTCTCTTTCAGCATCGGGGATGATCACCCTTAGGTGACGGATGCCATATCTTATTTGGCCGGCTTTGCGACGAAGGATCTGCAAGGATTGTGGACCGATCTTGATCCAAAGGTCCTTGCCGTTACCCTTGTCGCGAGCGCGGCCTCGGACAATCGTCCAGTCGTCAGAGATGACATCCACGTTCTGACATTTGATTAGGGCTAGTGAGGTCTCGTCCTCCACGAGGGGGGGGCGGGATCCACACTCGCACTGTCGTACGGGATGGCACCTCTGAGAGCGGAACAACTTCTAGTCGTGCGTTGGCCCAAAGTTCGTCTTGGTTGCGGACGCAGTTTGTTAGGAAGTCTAACGACTCCTTGTTACCGCATCCAACAACTTTGACTCCCTTCTGCCACTTGGCTCCATCAAACATACCAATGTAGTTGTTTTTGGTACGCTGCATTTCGCCAAGTAGTGCCCTCATGATCTTTTCCTCCAGGAGCAACCATTTGTCCGTCGGAATCTTTCCTTCCAGGTGATTCCGGTCTATGATTGCTACCTGGAGCTCTGGTGCTGAGCATAAGGTTGATGAAGTTTTCACCCGCTTCTGCTCAGGCTGTATCTTCTTGTCGCCAGACAGTTGTCTCTTCGGAGGCAATAGCAGCTGCCGACGTCGAGGCCTTCTCCCCGTCCAGCCGTGGGAACACTGGCCTCGCGGTCTTCGACACCTTGGGCGTCAGTGATTGCGACGGCTTGTTGTTTCCAACAGCGGACAGGGGAGCAGCTTTCTTCGTCGGCAGACTGCTACCGCCCTCAGAGGGGGGTTTGGTTGCAGCGTCCCTTTTATCGGAGTTTGTGGCTTTTCCAGAGACAGCGGCCTCACTTCCGGAAGCATTCGAGACTTTCTCCTCACGGAGTCGCTCATACTTCCGGACAATGTAGGCATGTGGGGGGTATTGCATTTTATACCTACTGCCAGGTGAAGGTGTCCTGCCGCCCACTATGGGTCAGACGCAGACCAGGGAGCCGCCGCACTGGGGAACAGACGCTTCTGGATTTGTCGGTGCGTTTTCAAACGAGAAGATTGGGGTCCCGTACGTAGTGGTCCACCCGTCATCCTGAGCGTTCTGGTCGTCCTGAGCGTTCGTCAATGCAAGTCACGTACAGTCCGGGTCCAGTCCTCACTACGGGAGCTCAGCCTTGAGCGAGGATATACCGCCTCGCACCGGTCGACAGAGCCTCGTTAGCGATAACAGGGATCACCAAGCCTTGACGGGCAGTGGGTGAGGTTGTCGTTTGGGAAGGATAGGTTATAGATTCACTTCACTCCCCCATTAGATCCCC